AGTCCATGTTCTGGTTCATGAGAAGGGTGTTAAACCTGCAAAGGCATTTAGAAAACAAAATTTTAACTCTCAATCCTCACCATAACTTCTGAGCTTTAGTGTTGTTAAGAGGGCTTTAAGAACAAGAAAACAAAAGAGAAACTACCTCTTCTATTAACTTGAGAATCTAAAGAGAAGAGTATCACAGTTAACAGTTCTAACAAGCTAAATTAATTCCTAACGCTAGATTAATTGTTAAGAAGCAATCCACTGGATTTGTTTTACATGCTTTAAACTGGGTAGATCATCATCCTTTGGGTAGACGACAATTTACGTAAATGCTGTCTGTATATAGGTATACACACAAGCTCTTAATATACCAACCACATGGACCAGAAAAGACAGCTTACCAAGTTTAAGTGATGGACATGCGTTAAAACTTTCAGTTCAGCAAGAAATTCCCGAGTGGCCTCCATGTCCATCTTCTTTATTGCAGCTTTCTGCAAGAATAAGAACATCCAGAGGAGATTTAAAAAAATGTTACAGATGAACTTCAAAATAGAGTTGAGAACTGTGCTCATGTCAACAAATGATTACTAGAGATAATCAAAGATTGAAGGTTGAGCAAATGAAACACCACAATACAAAAGGCTGCTGGCAATAAAATAGCTGAAAATTATGCAGACCAGAAACAACAATGAAATTGATAAACTATAAAAGATATATCTTGTCTGCCAACTCGGACTTTCACAATGAAAACCTCAATTTTACTGAACTAATTTGTGTAATCTAATTTTAAGCAAGTTGCTAAAAGCTTGAATCCTTGAATTATGCTAATTATGAATAAAGACAGAAGAAGACAAGCAGATGCCTATTTAAGTTTAACATGTCCAAGCACAAAACGAGCTCAGAGGCATATATAAGCATAGTAATACAAGTTCCACGGAAGTACAATGGTTAAGTTGTAACCAACCTCTCCTCTAAGCTCTGCATAGTAAACAGCTCCAAAACCACCTTCACCAATTTTATTAGCCATGCTGAAGTCATTTGTAGCCCTAGCAAGCTCTTCATAAGAGAACTCCACTGATCTGTCTACAGTAAAACCTCCAAGTAGGGCGGCACTGCCATCTTGAGACTTTGAACCTGAATCCATGGCAGCTGTAATACCAACACCAGGCAAGGACACACATTAAGCATGTACTTAGAGGCAGGGTTTCTAGAAAAGATAATAACTAGAAAACATCAATGGCCAATGGGATTGACTATAACTAATTAGTGCCACCAAGTTAATCAGTATAGCCGAGTCATATAACAGGAAACAAAATTATATGGTTGTATACTGTGCTTTACAATCCAACGAGATAAATGGCACATGAGGAAGGAACTGCAAAGTTGTTTTCAGCATTTATTTATGTTGAGACATTTTTGGAACTCCTAAAAAGATCACATGATTTAGGGGGTTGGATGAATTGTTTCTTGGGTCAAAGATATTTTATGTATGCCCAAAAATGGTGAGGTCTTTTCCGCTCAGATTCTTAGAGCCAATGCCCTCTATGCAATTTTCCCTAAGTCAATTATAGATTATTGACAATGGTTATAAAAAACGCATCTCAGAGCATGACTATAGGAAACCATAACAGAAGAATAGATCCTAGAATACAAACAATATAACTCGTCTAATATATAACCTTATATAACAAGAAGAGTTTAGACTACGAGTCAATAGTTACTCTTTTGGATGCAGCATTTTCTGGTATGCCAAACATATTTATCAACTTCTCTATATCTTGAAAGGATTTCTGATTATGGTATATACGAGTCCTTAATCGATTAAACTTGATTAATTGACAATTAATTTCTTTAGAAAAATAAAAATTCATAGTTCATAGGAGGAAGTGAGATGGAACTTGAAACTACTATGGAAATATAGGGTTTATAATTTGATTAGGACCTGATAATCAAAGATAACAAATTAGTTTCAGAGTAGTTAAAGAAGCCTTATAATTGATAGAATTGACTCATTAATTTCTAATGAATAGAACTTAATTGATCAAAATTGACTAAGTGATCCCTAATTTGATAGAAAAACTTGTTAAAGATTCACAGATCAAAATTGACTAAGTGATCCCTAATTTGATAGAAAAACTTGTTAAAGATTCACAGACAAATATGAAATCATAGTAGAACTCAAAAGATCCCTAATTTGATAGAAAAACTTGTTAAAGATTCACAGACAAATATGAAATCATAGTAGAACTCAAAAGAACTATTATTATTGTTGCTATTTGTATTAGTGAAGACAAACAACCCTGAATTCGTTGAACATATCTACCAGATGCTGAGTCTGCTCATACTTTATAGGTTTTCCGAGTTAAATATATTTGAAGGCCTAACTGTTTAGGGACGGAAATTATCAGTCTTGTTTGTCAGTCGATAATTCATCAGAATAAACCACAGGAAGTGCACCTGACAATCTCAATAAGACAAACCTACCAAACCACAATCTTACGGAAGAAATACAATTTCATTGCAGCATGAAGATGCCCAGACAGAAAGTAAGTCTACATAAGTAGTTTATTGCTAAAGGAAATTACCATTGCTGTGTGAAGTTGATTTGTCTCCGAACGATGATGGAATGAATTGGGACTTTTTTGCCTTCTGTCTCTTATACACCCCAAAGTATAAATAACTGGCCAATCCAAGGAGAACAATTATCACAGCTACAACAATTCCAGCGATGCCGCCTCCCGAAAGTCCTGCTTAAATAAGAAGCAATAAGTTCTATGCTGCAAATGAGTAGAACATCAAGATAGATCCGCTTCTCCATCTAGAACTTGTTAACAGTAACTGTTCGAATGATTATAAACCAACCACCTTTACTCTTTCCGCTGCAAAAAAGGAACACAAATCAGAATAAAGTAAAATGTTTTCAAGATGAAAAAAAATGCAAGATAAAAAGCTTTACTTTGATTGCAGGGGAAGGTAACTTCCATTTTGATCTGCATCAGAATACAGACAATTTAGTAAAGGAAACCAATATGTCACAATTAAATGTGATAGCTAATTTGCTATTTGTTCTTCACACTCAAAGAGGATAAAAGAAAATAGAGAAAGCTAGTGCATCATAAGCATAATATAAATGTGAAGAAGAATGAATAACCTTCATCTCATGTAACAGGAAAGCACCAGTTTATCTATGCACCAGTATTTTATATTAGAATATTTTGTCAAGACATGACTGCCTTTTCGTCCTAGCAAAGCCCTCAATCATTACAACATCATCGTCAAACTTAAAGAACACCCGTTCCATTATGCCCAACTGTTACCTAACCGATAGCGATGTTCAACGTATTCCCTAAAAGCTCAATGAAACTGAACATGCTAACTACATTTAAACCATTTTCCAATTACAACTTAAACTCTCCTTCAGATATCAGGACTCGTACATAAACAAAATGAATTAGATTTGTATTAGTTCCCAAAATAACAAGCTACACTATTCTGAGATGGTGTCAAATTTATAATGAAGGGGGGAAATTGCTAGATAAAAGGAAGGTAAGGAATCTGTCCGTTTCATTTAGAAATGGGATGGAGGAATTGACAAGGCAAAATTTGAAGCTAACAGAAAACCAGCATGATATCTCAAAACAACACTAATTTCAAAATAAGAAGACTACTACAACAACAACAATATAATACAACCTTTACAGAGTCGGCTTCAAAATTCCTGTTCTTCCATTCAGTTCTTACTATGGGTCATCTCCTCCTCATTACTAACTACGGGAATGAAGCTCTAATTCCTCACAAAAATTTACCCCTTTGGAGAGAAAAAAGAAGCTCACAAATGAAAACCCGACAATAATTCAGTAATTAGCTAAAATCCAACATCCCGAAAGCTAACTAGATCAAATATCTTAAACCAACCATGAAACAGTGAAGCATGGTAAGCTAAGGAACCAAACTCGATACAAAACAACACACGTGACAATTTGCTCTCTAAAATTACCTACAAAAAACCCAGCCTTCCTCTAAAAAAATGCCACCTTTCAGCAGAAAATTTAACCTGACAGCAAATCAAGCTCCCATTTCGTGAAGAAAAAATCAGGCTCAAAAAGGCGAAATTCGACGACAGCTCAATAACTAACCGAAACCTAACATCGTTGTGTTCCAGCTAAACAGATCAAATTTCTCACGCTATCATGCATGTTAAAGAGTAAACAACAGCAACTTCAGGGAACAAGTCAGGCTCACCCTTCGCCGGAACAAACACGATCCCCGAGCTGAAGTTAGACCCCGGATTGTAACTGCGGATCAAATAGTCCTTCACCCCAAACTTTTTGGCAATGGAGCTCAAGTTCTCCCCAGCCGCGATCGGGTACGTCTCGAACAACCCGTACTCCGTCGAAACAGCCGCGTCGCCGCAGCTACAATTCACCGTCACCTTCACCTCCGCCCCCGTCGGGATCCTATTCGGCGGTATCGCGTTGTCCGCGGCGAGAACCGCTGCGGTCGTAAGATTCGAGTACTGAACCCCGGCGATCTTCTCGTAGGTGTCTCCGCCGACGGTGGTGTAGCTGAAGGTGTGGCCGAGGAAGGAGTCTTCGATGCAGGCGCAGGTGAGGATTGGGACGTTGATGCGCTGCCCGGGGAGGATGACGTCCTTGTTGATGTTGTTGTTGTAGGGGAGGATGGAGTCGGGCGAGGAGAGGTTGAAGAAGGAGGCGATTAGGGTTAGGTTTTGGTTGGGGGAGACGGTGTAGTAGGGAGGGCGAGGCTGCATCTGTCGCCGGCGGAGCAGGAGACGGAGGCGGCGGTGGAGGTGGTGGCGCCGGCGGCGAGGGAGAGGAGGAGGAGGAGGTGAAAGGTGCTCATTTCGGAAACCCTAACCCTAACCCTAATTTGGGCATTGAGGGCGGAGAGGGGAAGGGTAGCTTTGAGGCGGCGGGAGATGGTCGCCGTTTACCTGTCAACGTTGACTGGTGTTTGAAATTAGCTTTTAGCTGGGTGTAATAATGTGGGTGAGTTTTGCGAAAGGAACCCTGGTATCTTCGATATTGGCAGGTATTTGTTGGGGTTTTTTTTTCATGAAAACCACCTTTAATGGAGGTTAAATTTATTAAAATCACCTTTTTAGTTTTTTATATATGTAAAATCTCTTTATAAGTGGATTTTTTCTTTTTCCCAATCAACCATATTTTGTCCACTTCCGCTCAATTAACATTCAAAGTCCTCGATGTGCCTTATATGTGTTTACCAACTACACGTGTAATTAATAAGAATTCTCAGAATAATAAAATATTAATCGATCAGAAATTGATAAAATCTATTGATTAAAGACTGAACCCACTTGTAAAATAGTTTAGGCATAAAAAAATTTATAGATGGTTTTTATCAACTCAATCTATTTTTAAGTTGATTTTCATAGGGAAAAAATAAACCTTTTTTGCTTTGTTTCCGGATTAATTTGGGGAGCATGTGACTTGGACTTGGTACCTTGGATGGGAAACCTAGCCCATAACGTTGGGCTTGCGGCTAATGTGAATAAAAGAGTTTAATAATGGGCTTGGCTGGGGTGGGCCGGAGAATGCTATCTACTGAAGGCTTTGAGCTCAAGTTGGGACGCTCCTGATCTCAGTTCAGCAACGGGTTAATTTGCAGATAAACCCCCGCAATATTGGGGGGGTTTCGCCAATTATTTCTGAAGTTTTTGTATGAAGAATCAGCCTTCTAGTTTTTCAAATAGAATTATGTCCCTCTTTTACTTTTACCCAGCATACGAGCACATGTGAATCTCGAATGATGTTGCAATTGATAATTCACCGCGTTGCAGATTGACTTCTTTATTGGGCTTTGTGCATACATTTTGCATAGTATTCTTGTGGGGTCTCATCCTTTTTCTTTAGGAAAAAAAACATTTTGAATAGTATATTCATGGGGAATTTTTTAAAATAGACTACTTTTGCTAAATATTTAGCAAAATAGACCAATTTGCTTAATATTTAGCAAAACGGATCTCATTTTGGCCAATAGGCCAAAAAGATGTCGATTTTGAAAAACAGAGCTCAGAAAACATATGAGACTACTAGTCCCGTATGTTTAGAGCCAACTTAATCACCGCCATTTTGAACAACAAGGCTCAGAAAACATACGGGACTAGTAGTCTCGTATGCTTTCTCAGCCTTGTTTTTCAAAATCGACATCCTTTTGGCCTACTGGCCAAAAAGAGATATATTTTGCTAAATATTTAGCAAAGTGGTCTATTTTGTTAAATATTTAGCAAAAGTGATCTATTTTTTTTAAAAAATTACTATATTCATAGATAATAATGGAGAGGTAACTTCATTTTGAAATCTTAAAATATAACAAGTTTGATATATCTTTCAGACGCTGTCATATTCGGTCGACCTTTTGTACAAACGCTCGGATCACAATCAAACTGGACCACTCGGTATCATTCATGTTAGATCTAATAAAAAACTTGAGATCTAAACCATAAAGGCATGATTTAATTCAAAGAGATTAACAAGAATCAAAAGGTGCGGAAGCATATACCTGAATCCATTGAAGGAAACTTGATTAGGGTTTTGATGATCTTCTAACCTTAGGGTTTCTCTCTTATGGATCTCTTTAGATGGGGATAAGAGAATGAGAGTGGTTAACCCTAGATTAGGGACCATAACCCCTTATATATAGGTGTTGTACATTTGTAATTTGGCCCCTCATCAAATTACAATTACAACCTGGTATCTGCACATATAACCCCCATGATTTATTTAAATACCTATTAACCCAAATTGATTGATCACTTTAAGTGGGTTATCCTTAAAGATAGTAATACACATTGATTAATCATATGTGCCCACAAATAGATTTAATTAGATTTAAATCCAACAATTCAAACTAATAAATAAACAAACAGGCTTCAAATACAGTTAAAAAAAAAAAAATCAGATTCCACACATTTTATAAAAACTTTATTACCACATATCACATAATCGATCCCATGACGCACGATACCCCCACGCACGTACGCGCGCGCGCGCGCGCTCACTTGGCCTGATCAAGGGGCACGCTCCTGAGCACCACGGTCTCGACCGTCAGCCCCGGCCCGAACCCGAACAAGACCCCCCACTC